TTTCAGCACACAGGGTTATTGTAAAATACATGAAAGGAGTCACACTGGGGAGAAACCCTATGTATGTATGCAATGTGGGAAAGCTTTCAGCACACGTAATTATTGTCGAATACATGAAAGAACTCACACTGGGGAGAAGCCCTATGTGTGTAAGCAGTGTGGGAAAGCTTTCAGAACACACAGTAATTGTCAAATACATGAAAGAACTCACACTGGGGAGAAGCCCTATGTGTGTAAGCAGTGTGGTAAAGGATTTGCTACTAAGTCCTCATTACACAGACATAAACTCACTGTGGAGAAACTATGTATGTAAGCAATGTGGGAGTGCTCTAAGTACACATATTGACAAATACATGAATACATGTATTTCACGTCAAACACATGAAGTCTCACTGGAGAGAAACTTCATGTATGTAAGCCTGTTTTGAAAATCCTGTGAAAATTTCTCATGTAGTGGAGACCTGTAGAAATAATACAAAATGTTTGATGTCAATATTTCTTCTCAAATTTCCAAAAAAAGAAAATTCCCAGTGGAGATATCAGAAGTTACATACATTGTGTGGTTTTCAGTAAATCACTTATAGATTATGTACCTATAGTGTTTAATATATAGATATTGAGTTGACATATTTAGGTGTTTTTGTGTATCTGAGCTTAACACATAGGGTATTTAGCATGGTGAATTGAAATATATATATTTTTATTCATTAATTTTATTGGTATATTTTAGGTATACAATCACATACTGTACCATTTTATGCAGGGTTCAAAATGATCAAAATACTTAAACCAAATAAGATGGCAGGAAGAAGACCAGCCTTAAACAAACCAGAAGAAAAAGAATATGTACAGGCAGGAATATGCAGGTAGTCCTAGGACCCAGGAAGGTTATGGTAGATAGCTGAGCAGGGTTGACATGAAGCCCTTCCCTTGGGGCTGTGGGTCTTTGCTACCAGCATAAAAATACATGCTTCCCCTCCTCCCTAAAATTAATTGATCTATTTTGATTTTAGTTTAGTACATGGTGAGAAATACAGGCCTAGCATCAATCTTCTGCATGTCGATAGCCCCTTTAGCAAATGGAGCTGGAAAAACTGGCTATCTTTCCTCCAGCATAGGTTTTTGGTCCCTTTGTCAAAGATAAGGTGGCTGAGTGTGAGTGCATCTTCTATTCTTTTCCATTGAATTACATGTCAGTTTTTGTGCTAATACAATGCTGTTTTTATCACTGTAGCTGTGTAGTATAACTTGTTATGGGGGGTTGTGTTGCCTGCTACTTTGCTTTTTTTTTTTTTTTCTTTTGAGACAGGACCTCAGTATGTAGTTCATGTTGGCCTTTAACTCACTATGTAACCCAGGCCAGCATCAAACAGGAAATGATCCTCCTGCCTCAGCATCTTGAGTGCTGTGATTACAAATGTTCACCACCACACCCAGCTTCCTGATTTGCTCTTTTAGCTGGGATTGATTTTGCTTTTTCTGGTCTCTTGGAGTTATATATAAATTTTAATGATTGTTTTATGGCTACAGCTTCATAAAACCTGAGTTCACATAGTACCCTTCATGCTTTACTTGTCCATTCACCAGCAGCCACATTAATTTTCTACCTGTCCTGTTTAGCCTCTTCTGCCTATAGTAGGGGGGCCACCCTTACCTGTGGTGAGCACTGGAAAGGTTGCAGCCAGGAAGCTATGTTCCCTGATGTTTGGGGGAAATGGTGGAATAAGCCAGTATACAAGGAGCCTATCCCAGAGGTATGGTCTCTGCTAGCTCATATCCTTGATGATCTTGTATTGGACCCCTACTTATCTCTCATGGGGATATGGGTCTCTCCAATCTGTTTAATAAATATAACTCCAGTGAGAGGTCTCTTCAATCTCCCAATAGTTCTCAGATCACTAAATTAGGCACATCCCTCCAATTACTCAGGAACTCCACTAGAGCCTCTTGCCCTAAAGGAACCCAGTTTTAATCAGCCCCCTCATTATGCTCCTCAGCCTTATGACCCACTGGCTGCACACAGCTTTAAGCCTTAGAGTATGAACCAGAAGTGGTGCTTATTTCTTTAATTCACAACTTGTCCTGCCTCAAAGAGAGGTTCCAGGCATGGAAATACTCAAGTTCTGGTTCATTTTCAGTTGTAGATATTCAGCAATGCAAAGAATGGCTAGGCCAATTATCAGAGGACCCTAGTAAGTTTACAGATATGTTTCAAACTTTGATCCTTGCTTTTGACTTATCATAGTAAAATGTCCAATTCATTTTGGTCACTTGCCATACCCAGATGAAAGAATCCTACAAAGGGCTAGAAACTATGAAGATGAGCAATATGCTTTTAAAAGGGAAGGAAATACCCTGGAAAGGTTTTTATAAAAACCTGCACTACACTTAATCCTGCCTCTTTGATGCCTATAGGCCCAGAAGTTATCCACTCTTGTGAACAAGTGATCTCTCAAACCTAGTGCAAGCAGATAGGATATCAATGACTGGCCCTTCCAAGACCCTGAGAAGATGTGGTTCACTGATAGAAGTAGCTTTGTCCAAGAAGGACATTGAAAGGTAGATTGTGCAGTTGTCAGTTCACAACAGGCCACTGAAGCAAAACCTCTTTCCTCAGGGACCTCTCTTGGAAAGGCAGAGCTAATAGCTTTTACTTGAGGATTGACACTAGGAAAAGGCAAAATTTACGTATCTATACAGACTTCAAATATGCCTTCCTGGTGCTACGTATTTGTGCAACAATCTCAAAGGAAAGGGGCTTACTAATAATCACAAAGCACAAGAAGGAAATTATACAACTCCTAGAGGTAGTCCATTTTCTCAAGCAGGTCACAGTGCACTGTAAGGAGCACTATAGAAATATGTCTGAAGTCTGCTTGGGAAATAAAAAGGCTGATAGGGAAGCCTTACAACCCCTTAAGGCCCTAGCCTTAATCTCAGTTTTTGAGGAACCATTAACACCAGTTTATACTTCCCCAGAAAGATAAATTGGCCTTAGGACAAAGGGATATTTAAAAAGGGGCTCTGGTGATATTTAGAAAACAAACTGGAGTGGTGCTGGTGTCAGCTTTGACACCAGGAGCAGACCCCAGTCTTGTCGTTCACCATGCCAATGGTGGAGGAGCTTTACCACAAGTATGGCATCCTCACCAATGCCACTGAGTAATGGGCCAGCATAAAGATGCCTATCAAGTCATACTGGATGGTGTGAAAGGTGGTACTAAGGAAAAATGATTAGCAGCTCAGTTTATTCCTAAATTCTTCAAGCATTTTCCTGAATTGGCAGATTCTGCTATCAATGCACAGTTAGACCTCTGTGAGGATGAAGGTGTATCAATTTGACACCAAGCAATTAAAGAGCTGCCTCAATTTGCCACTGGAGAAAATCTTCCCTGAGTGGAAGATATACTAACCCAACTCTTGCAGACAGATGACTGCAGAATTTAACTTAGTGAACAATGCCCTGTTAAGTATATTTAAGATGGATGCAAGAGGAATATTAGGTGGCTTGTTTAGCCAGATACTTCAAGGAGAAGACATTGTTAGAGAACGAGCAATTAAGTTCCTTTCTACAAAACTTAAAACTTTACCAGATGAAGTCTTAACGAAGTAGAAGAACTTATACTAACTGAATCCAAAAGGTCCTAGAAGATATGATTGGTGAAGAATTTGTTCTGTTCATGAAGATACTGTCTGGGTTAAAAAGCTTACAGACAGTGAGTGGAAGACAGCAGCTGGTAGAGCTGGTGGCCAAACAGGCCAACCTGGAGCAGACCTTCAATCCCTCAGATCCCAACTGCGTGGACAGGCTCTTACAGTGCACTCAGCAGGCAGTGCCCCTCTTCTCCAAAAATGTTCATTCCACGAGGTTTGTGACATTTCTGTGAACAAGTTCTCCCTAACCTTAGTACCTTGAGTACCCCAGTGGAGGGTCTTGATACACATTTGGAGATGTTAAGATTGTTGGGAGAAATGAGTTCATTTTGTGGTGACATGGAGAAGCTAGAAACACACTTAAGGAAACTATTTGGTAAGTTATTGGAGTACATGCCTCTTCCACCAGAAGAAGCAGAAAATGGGGAGAATGCTGGTAATGAAGAACCCAAGTTGCAGTTCAGTTATGTGGAATGTTTGTTGTACAGTTTTCATCAGTTGAGCCAAAAACTTCCAGATTTCTTAACAGCCAAACTGAATGCAGAAAAGCTCAAAGATTTCAAAATCAGGCTGCAGTACTTTGCCCAGGGCTTGCAGGTTTATATCCGACAACTTCGTTTGATTCTCCATGGTAAAATAGGGGAGGTCTTAAAAACGGAAGAGAACAAGATTAAAGTTGTTGCATTGAAAATAACTATCAATGTTTTAATCAAGGATCTCTTCCACATTCCTCCTTATAAAACCACAGTAACATTATCCTGGAAACCTGTACAGAAGGTTGAGGTTGGGCAAAAGAGAGCCAATGAAGATACAACTTTGGGTTCACCACCCAGGAAATCTGCAGCAGGACCAAAAAGGGATGCCAGGCAGATTTATAACCCTCCCAGTGGGAAATACAGAAATTTGAGCAACTTTAATATGAGAGGAGCCTTCAGGGGAAGTAGAGGTGGCCAAGTTTGGGGGACACAAGGAAATCATAGTCGAGGAAGACTCTACTGAATAAGACATCACATTCTTCAAGCACTGTCATGAGCTTAATAAATATAAATTCTACTACTCATTGCATTGCCGGGGATGTCCCTTTAAAAGGACTGCTCCCTTCAGTTGAAAACTTAATGTTCTTTTCATCTTTGTATGTATGATCTACTTTTTGTAATAGACCATGGTGTGTTTGAGGTAAAAAACACAATATTTTTGGATGCTTTGTCTCAATCTTGTTTTTGCAGTATCATTAGACCTCATACTGTAGATCTTTTACTTCTAAAACATCTTGGTAATTTGTTATTGAGAGCAGTTTGAGTCTAAAAATGTAATGAAATTCAGTCTAGTTCTGATAATCTGGTACCCTAAATAATCTGAATAATATAAAAGGGGAAGACTCCCTTTGTTACTTTTGCTGTCTTTCACCACCATAAACTGTTGCACCTCTGCCATGTGCCACTCTGCCTTGGAGCCAGCTGATTATGGACTGATACTTCTACAAACTCTAAGCTAAATAAACCTTTCCTCCTTTAACTTTAGTTGTTGCATATTTTGTCTCAGCAACAAGAAAAATAACTAAGTCAGTCCCTTTTCAGTGATCCTTGCAATAAAGCCATCAGAGATAAATAACAATCAATCTTTGTAGAATAAAGCCAGTTCCATCTAAACTGAACAAAAAGACCACCAAAAAGGAAAAAGCTATTCCTGTAAGCCTCTGGGAGACTTGAGATTTCTCTTCACAAAGCAAAACTCCAATGTGGCTACAGATAAGAAAACTGGGTCTTTCTAAGGCCATGTCTCTCAGACACTTGATAATTTACCTGACATTCCTCTCTGACATATTCTTCTCTAAAGGAGGTATGGAAATCTGAACTGCTCTCATATTTGGGCTAAGAGTAAAGGTGTTTTCTCATATCAAACAAGCAGCTCAATGGTCACTAATTCTTTTTTCATTGTCTCCTAACAATTTTTTCTTAAAAGTAGGCAGAGAGTCAAAATATCCCAAAGTAGTTAGCACATAATCCCCAGTAGCTAGAGTCTACAGCCCCTTCTAGCCAGAAGAAGCAACAAAAGAGAGATCTCCACTTTCTAAACACCCTGTAAAGAACTATGGGAATTTGTGGCTTTCAGAAGGAAGGAAGATAGGAAGATAGGGCATAGTTTAAACTTACTGGAAAGGGAGGTGAGGCAAGACCCCAGAACACCTGTGCAAAACTAGCTCTCCATACCCTACATGTGGACTTCTCATGAGAATTTGAACAGGTTCCTAATGGAATGATACAACTGATGTAAATGTCAGAAAATATCAAAGGTACTGAAAAGGAGATAGGATGCCATTCTTCCACCCTCACTCAGTACCACCACCCCCCAAAAAAATACCCTAATTTTCAGAAAATGGTGGAATTGGAACTGGAGACCTTGATGTTCAGTGAAATAAGAAACTCTGAAAGTAAAATACAGTGTATTTTGTCTCATCTGTGAAAGTTAAAATCCTTGAGAAAAAAAAAGATGACTGAGTATGACTAGGTCAGGCTCCAAGATTTATATGCCCTTGTTAAGCATCAAAAATGAGGGAGGCAGGAGTCGCACAGAACACGCCTAATCACCCCGCTGCAGACAGGCAGGTCTGCCCATGCCCTACCGAGGTCCTGAGTTGCACAGAACACGCTGAATCAGCCTGCTGCAGACAGGCAGGTCCTGAGTCGTACAGAACACGCTGAAGCAGCCCGCTGCAGACAGGCAGATCTGTGCACTCCCTACCGAGGTCCGCAGTCATGCGGAACACAAGCCGAATCAGCCCACTGCAGGTAGGCAGGACTGTGCACACCCTACCGAGGTCCTGAGTCGCATGGAAGACACAGAATCACCCCACTGCAGACAGGCAGCCACCTGATTCCACACTACAAAGACGCAGAGGACACCAGACCACCAGATGAAGGTAATGAGTCCTACTGTTCCTAGCCCAGACGTAGGGGCTTCTGGGTCATCGTCCCACTTCTCCTAGTCCAGAGGAAGGGGCTTCCCAGTCACCATCCCTCCCGCTGCTCCCAGCCCAGAGGAAAGGGCTTCTGGGCCACCTTCTGTCCCACTGCTCCTGGCCCAGAGGAAGGGGCTTCTGAGCCATCATCCCACTGCTCCTGGTCCAGAGGAAGGGGTTTCCCGGCCACCATCCCTCCAGCTGCTCCCAGACCACAGGAAAGGGCT